GTCATTCTTTATTTTGACATTATTCTGGTCTTGTCCTCCACTATGATTATTTTCTCTTTTGCTGCTGTTTGTGCATTTATCCTCCAGTTAAAAGATGGAAATAACAGCAATAGCCTCAATTTGCAACTCAAATTTATAAATACTGAACTGTTCTCCTGTCCAAAAAAAGACACTGAATTTTTTCTTAGGTGAAAGATTCTAAGATGTTAGAAAGTCAAGATTGATGAAATGTCCATGACGTTGTAATGGAGTTATGGTCCCTGTAATCTAAGAATTGCTCCATCAAGTTTTAGATGCTGCACTTTTTCCCTCCATTGGTAACAGCATTTCTTCTGCAGGGTTGAAAACCTTGCAAAGTTTAAGAGCGATGAAGGAGATTGTCCCACTTTGGTCTGCACAGACTTGGCTGCTAGAGGGCTGGATTTAGATGTGGATCATGTCGTCATGTTTGATTTCCCTAAGAATTCTGTAAGCACTTGCTTGGGTTTTGCCTAACATGTCATCTTCTTGTCATTACAAGCTAAAACCGTTTTTGTATGTTTAAATCCTTATCCTTTTCTTTTGCCTGTTCTAGATTGATTATCTCCATCGCACTGGAAGGACTGCTCGTATGGGTGCCAAAGGTTGGTTTGCATGAATCTTAATACAATTCGTTTTCCTAGTTGAGTTTAGTCCTTCACTTGACAGCTTTTTGTTGGTACTGTGAATGCAGAGCATGTTTGCTCGTTACATAAACTAGATGTGCATTCTTAGTAATCGTAGCTGTTTTTCCTTTCCTTGAGAATAAATTTTTTGATAAGGCAACTATTCATCGAACATAATGGGGGAAGACCCCCTGTATATAAGTGGTATAAAAGAAGTGGATAACCTACCCCAAACATGCTCTCCACAAAATGCACCCTAACATCTATGCTAACAGCAATCTCGTTAGTGATCCAAAAGGTCAACAAATGCAAGAAGTTAGTCTATCCAATAGTATTCTCTTTCCAGAGGAAATTACCACGGTGCCTCATGGTGATTTTGATAATGTTGCTTTGCGTGCTTGGTTTTTGAATGATGCATGTGCTTCATACTTCATATATGCACCTTTGAAATTCTTATTGCTCATCATTTAGGTTATAATTTGTTTTAGTTGGCAGCTCTCAGGCCTGCAAAGTTTCCAATATAACTTTTTTGCATGTGTAGGGAAAGTTACAAGTTTGGTTTCCAAAAAGGACTTGCTTTTAGCCGCTCGCATCGAGGAAGCCATGATGAAGAATGAGAGCTTGGAGGCTCTCTCAGTAGACGGTGTCAAAAGGGATATTGCCAGGTCTCGCATAACTGAACAGAAGGACAAGCGTGAAAAGTTGGTCAAAGTTTCAAATTCAAGAGGCAAGACTAAAGCTTCCACAGGTAAATCCTCCAGTGTTCGCAGAAAGACCGATCCAAAAAAATCTTCCGGAGCAAAGTCTGGCAAAGTACCAGCTAAGTCAAAACCAACCATAGCAATCAAGGTATCAAAGAGGGTTAGCACTTCCACTGGTAAGAAACGAGGAGACAGTCGAAGCTCTAGCGTCTCCACGTCGAAACTAAATGTTGTTGGATTCAGGGGCAGGAGTTCATCATCGAGTAAAAACGCAAATGTTAGGGCTGGTTAACATGCCTAGAGTTCAATCATGTATACTGAATTTTGTTTTCTTTTCTTTCTCCTTGTAAAATTTATGGTTAGTCATTTTGATATTTTCATTCATCAAATTGTGCAATGTCAAGAGCCCTTCTCCATGACTTGTCATTGTTGTTCCCTTTTTGTCACTATATTGCAATTGTCAGACTGTTCAGAACGTGAGTGACCCTCTGTTATTAGAGATGGAGAAAATCTCTTCTTGAATATGGAGATTTTCGACCAATGATTCCATGACTTTTGCTTGAACGTTCTGCCAAAAGGATGATGAGCTATGGTGAGCCTTACCACTCCTGCAAAATTTGTTGTAACCTAAGAATTCCTGAAGAAAAAAAAAAGCTCGCTTATGCATTCACTTTTCTCGCAATTCTCTCCTGCTAATTGCCTACCCATCAAAACCTAAAAAACAGGTTCGACTGGGAAAACCTCAGCAAAGATTCACTCTGTGAGACGTTTAGTAGTTCCTGACTTGGTCTTAGAAGCGAAAGTCTCAGCCGCTGGTTGGACTCTTGACCTCTATAGGAACCCCTTTTCAATCAAGAAAGAGAAATCAATTCGCGATGATGAAATTTTTTGTCACCTGTAAGTGTATCTCTCATCCTCCATTCTTTTTCTTACCACCATTCGTGAGCACGTGATTTTGCTATATGTGAAATACTCCTATAAAATCAAAGAAAATAGATTTTTTCTAATTTTTTGTCATTTTATAGGACTTTTATTAATTGTTTGCATTTTTGTGCACGTTTAATTCTTATTAAAATCATGAAAAATACTAAAATACCATGCATTGCATTTTGATTTTGTTTTTATACTTTTAGGATTCATTAGTTAATTAATTGTTGTACTAAAGATGAAAATCACAAAAATAACTCATTTTACATTTTTACCTTTTAATTTTTAGATTATTGATTTTTCTCTTTTGATTTAGGATCAAGTAATTGTTATAAATATTATAATTAGCTTAATTTTACAATTTAGACTAATTTAGGAATTTGATTTAGGTTTTTTCTTAATTAAAAAAAAAGGAAAAAGAAAAGGAAATAAGGAAAAAGAAATTGAAGAAAAGGTTTAATTGGATATTGGGCTAGTTCTTGCACCCAAATCAGACCCAAATTTTCTTACCTAGCCCAAAAAACAGACCCGACCCGCCTGACCCAAAACCCCTACTCTTTTAATTGAAAGACCTAGACCTAATCACATCAGAAGATGGGACCTCACCCTAAAGAAGCTAGAAAAACGACGCTCCATTTTCCCCCCTAAAAAGAGACGAAAACTGACCCTTCTCCTGGACTCTGTCAACGGTACACCCCTCTCCATTGCTCAACAAGAACGATCAGATTTCTACCCCAAGTTGAAAACGGCGAACCTACCTATCAAAAATAATTTTTTTTTTGATTCTCTCTTTGAGTTGGAGAAAAAACCAGTGAACTCATATCCTTGACAAAAGCAGCAGCCAAATCTCGAAGCCCTTTTAAATTCGGCCGAGAATGTAGGACACACGCACACATGTATACAAAAGGAGTTTAAGAAGGGAAAACAAGGTAGAAAAGAGGATTAGGAAGCTGTCCCAGATTTCAGTTCATCTATTCAATATTTTCTGGGATTTCTAAAGTGACCGAGCTTTTAAAATTGTTGGTTTGTTGATTCTGCTTGTTTCTGGATTTATTGAGCTTTGTTTTCATACTTTCAGACCTTTATTTGGTCCTTGATTGTTGTGTTTTGCATTTAGGTATGTGATTTCTTATTTGTTCTTCACTATTGGAGTTTATGAATGAAGCTTGTGCTATCTGCAAATGAGTTCATATTTAATTTCTTCGATCCAACTTGTTTGATTCTCAACCTGTTCATGTTCTTCTTTTCTGATGAGTTTTCAGTGACCTCCATGTACTTTTGTTTGTCCAGCCTGTTTGTTTTGTTAAAATTTTATTAATTAACTGTTAAAAAAAAAGTCTCGCCCTTGGCATTCATAGCACAATTTTGGAAGGATCACACAAAGTCTGGTTCATTTGGGCCCCAAATGATGAGTAGCGGCCCAATATCCCTGCTGCACCCTCTTTTATTCAATAAGGCCCTTTGAAATATTAGTCTTCAGGCCCAGACAATGGAACTAGCTGAGAATTTCAACGCCTTCACTAAGTCAGAAACATAATCAACCATACTAATTCCTATTAGTTAAATCTCATACTTTACCCACATCATTTTATAATCTTTGAACCTCCACAGTCAATCTCAAACTTAGAAAACTAATTAATTCATATAAACACTCTTAGTTTGCTTTAGGCACGCAATTAAATTATTACAACTACGGGTACGATTCCCTTGATGTAGTTGTGATACATAATTTCAAATTAGATTAAGGTAGGAGCAACTTTAATTTGCCTTAGAGAAAAATACAAATCTTTTCTTTTTTAAAAATAATTTGAGGTGTGCCATACACAAACAAAAATCCATAAGCTATGACCCTCACATCAATATTAACTTAGTATAGAAAACACATTTTGAACATCGTAGTTTGCTTTAGGCGTGATTAAATAATAAATTATCGTGGCCATGGGTACGGTTCCCGTGGTATGGTCCGATACGTAAATCCCAATTCGGGTGTGCATTTCATGTGACCCGATCATAACAACTCCGAATAATAATAAAATAAACATATTGCGAATCACGGGTGTATTTCATGTAGCGTGGTTTGCGGTGTGTTCTAAAAACGGCAAGTGTACGACAATCGTAACTTGTTCAAGAAATAATTCCATAAATCTTAAAAAGAGGTCAAAATAATTAGAAGCGGTTATAAAGTTAAAAATGCATAATAGGTTTAAAACGTGTAGTAAATCAGATAATAGGCCAATTATTAAAAGTTTAAGCGACCGTGCTAGAACCACGGAACCCGGGAGTGCCTAACACCTTCTCCCGGGTTAATAGAATTCCTTATCTAGAATTTCTGGTTCGCAGACTTATAAAGTAAAGTCGAATTTCCTCGATTTGGGATTTATAAATCGGTGACTTGGGACACCAAATAAACTATTCCAAGTGGCGACTCTGATAAATTAAATAATCCCATTTCGAATAATATCACTTTAATTGTAAAAACTCTCATATCCCCTCTCGGGTGGTAAAAAGGAGGTGTGACACCGTTAAAATTGAATTATTTTAATATTGATTGAAAAGGACATTAATTGAAAACGTTATGTAACTTAGAATTGCACGCCTCTGCTGACAAGCTAATTGATTAGTCCAATTCCATGAGCATGGTGTAGTTGTTGCTTGCTTGCCAATGTCAGACTAAAATGTGATAAACTGTAATCACTATAAGCAAATTATGCAGCATAAAGAAAAGTAGTGAAGAAATAAAGAGGCAACTAAGCTAACACTAAATGTTTTCTGAAACTGTACAAGAATTCCTACACTAATCTATGCCTGGAAACTTGAATTCTACTCTTTTCCTACAATGACTAGCCTTTCTTCTACCTTGGCAACAGAGAAAATAAATGCCTACACCTCTAAAATAAAAGAGACAGGAAAGATAAGCAAAAAAGAATCAACTTTGAGTTAACTGATTTATTAAAGGCTGAGAAGTTTTTCCAAATTCTTCAGGTGGGCTCTTCACTTCCATTAGAAGTGCCACCACTTCTTTCATGGTTGGCCTTTCACTTGGTGATGAATTCACACAGAACATAGCTATTCCAATTGTTTGTAGCATTTCTTGTACCATTTGATCCGGTAAAGCCCGTAGCTTGGAATCCAAAATTGTAACAGCTGGTTCAAAGCTTCCCATCTTCTTCTTTACCCACTCAACAATGTGTAGTCCATCACCAATCTGAGGCTCAATTGCACTACGTCCACTCAGTATTTCCAGCAACACCACTCCATAACTGTAGACATCGCTTTTTTCTGTTATATTCACTGTGTATCCATATTCTGCAGCCATAGTGGTAAAAATTCATGTCAAAATCTATGAGCACAACTTGTTTAGCTTACACTTCCAAATTTGACAATAAATTACAACATTGTGATTTGACCTATAACTGAAAACTGTTAAAGACATAATTAAATAAATAAAAGTATACCCTCTCTAACAGCTTAAGCTTTTAGAAAAGATGGGGATGCAATTCAATACAAACATAAAAAAACATCACATTTATTCAGGAAAAAGAAAAAAAATTGTCCTATAAAAGCAGCCAACATTTAAGATGAGAAATAGAAAGTTGAAAGATACATGCCTGGAGCTATATACCCATAAGATCCTGCTAGTCTGGACATCGCTTGATAATTTGGAGAATTCATCAGCTTTGCAAGTCCAAAATCTGCTAAATAAGCCTCAAATTTGGAGTCAAGGAGTATGTTGTTGCACTTGACATCTCTATGAAGAATTGCTGGCACACAGTAATGGTGAAGATAAGCAAGTCCTTGAGCTGATCCAACTGCAATCTTGTACCTGATTTCCCAGTCCAAGTTCCTGTTGCTTTGCAAGAGCTGTTGAAGATTACCATTTGAAATGTAGTTGTAGAGAAGAAGTTTAGTACTCTTGTTTGAACAGTATCCAAGGAGCTTCACTATGTTGCGATGCCTTATGTGACCGAGAATTTGAATTTCAGCAGCGAAAGAATCTATTGGTTCCTCATCTTTCTTTGTTTTCCAGAGCTTCTTAACCGCAATCAACTCGCCATTTGGCATTTCTGCTCTATAAACAACTCCTGAGCAGCCTTTCCCAATAATGTTTTCACCTTTCAAGCAATCCAAGATGTTGTCAATGGTGAAATTGGCCTTTTGGAAGGGGATGAAAGTCCACGGATAGGAAAAATCTTCTGCCCCTACTGCAGAGGCTGACATGCCTGGGGATTTCTCAAATTCATATCTCCGTTTCCTTGTCACAAAAAACAGCGGTGCCACGACTGCTATGGCAACAGATATCACGATCACTGCAACCAAAGCTATGGATTTTACAGACTTCAATCTGGACCTTCCCGTTATACGAGCAGAACAAGCAGAGCCATCAATTGATTCACAAAGGTGTAAATTATCAAGAAAAGAGTTTGATGTGAGTGTTCTAAAGAATGGCGTTACAGGAATAGGCCCTGATAAACTATTGTAAGATACATTTAAAGTAGTGAGACTGGTCAGAGAGCTTAGAATCGCGATGTTTCCACTCAGTATATTGTGAGAAATATCAAGAGATTGCAACCGTGTCAATCCGGATAAACTTTCAGGGAGTTCGCCTGTGAAACGGTTTGAGCTCAAATCCAAGCTGATTGTTAAGCTTGTCATATAACCAATCTCAGGTGAAATTGCACCAGATAAACCATTGGAGCTCAAGTCAAGTAGAGTTAACTTCTGCAAGTTGCTAAATGACTTTGGAATTGGACCAGTAAGCAGATTATTGCTGAGAATAAGTTTGTTCAAGTAACTGAGATTACCAAAACTCCCTGGAATCTCACCAGTGAAGCTGTTCTTGCTGAGATCAAGCTGCTCTAAGTTCACGAGCTCTCCCAATGTTGATGGTATTTCCCCAGTTAGGTAATTGTTATGCACATCCAACAGCTCAAGAACCGTAATGTCGGCAACTTCAGAAGGTAATTCACCAGAGAAATGGTTCATGTATAAATCAAGAAACACAAGATTCTGCAGCTGTCCTATCTCCTTCGGTATTGGTCCAGAAAACTGGTTTTCACCGAGCCTCAACCTCACCAGAGACTGGCACTGTGCCACACTTGGCGGCAAACTTCCTGTTAACGAATTTCCAAGGAACAACAACCTACTCAGCTTCTTCAAACTGAATATCTCTTCAGGTATTGAACCAGTGAGATTGTTCCTTGAGAGGTCAAGTGAATATAGTTCAGTACAGTTCCCAAAAGCAGCTGGAATGGTTCCTGAAACCGAATTCCCCCACAATAAGAAACTCTGCAAGTACTTCAAGTTCCCAACTTGCCAAGGAATAGCCCCTGATAATTGGTTCTTATCAAGCTGAAGAGCTGTTAAGCTACTACAATTACTCAACTGCATTGGAATAGCACTAGTAAGTGCATTATCCGACAAGTGAAGTTGTTCAAGAACCTCTAGCTTTCCCAGATCACCCGGAATTTCACCAGACAAATCATTTGCAGAAACATCAAGAACTACAAGAGATGAACAATTTGAAAGCTCAGCCGGAACAGGGCCAGTAAGCAAATTTCCCCATAAAAGTAAGCTAGTAAGCTTTTGTAACTTGCCCAACTGAGGAGGTATTGAACCAGTGAGCTTATTCATGTGCAAGTATAAGTTCCTAAGCTCTGAACACATCCCAAGTTCAGGTGGTATTGAACCGAAGACTTCAGTATCATATATTGCCAAAGTTTGGAGATTAATTAAATTACCAAATGTGGGTGGAATAACCCCAGAAAGTCCAGTGGCCGCGACACCAAACGTTGTGAGATTGGTGAGTAGGCCTAATCGTGCTGGTATTTCGCCAGTTAGCTGTGGATTTCCTCCAATCCTGAATTGTTGAAGTGACACCAAGGAGCCTAATTGAGAAGGAATCGATCCGTTAAGGAGATTATCTTGGAGACAGAGGATTTCTAGTGAAGTAAGATTGGCAAGTTGTTGTGGGATTTTACCAGTCAATCTGTTTGAATTCAAGAACAGGAACTGAAGTGAGGTAAGCCCACCAAGTTTTGAGGGAATAGGCCCTGAAAGAGAATTAGAAGAAAGGTCCAAAAGCGTAAGATGAGTAAATGAACCAATTAAGGATGAAGGGATTGTGCCTGATATATTTGTAGAAGAAAGATTGAGAAGCTGAAGAGATGAAAGGGAAGAGAGGTCAAAGGGTAAATAAGATAGATTGAGAAATGTATTTGGAAGAGAAACTGAAATAACTCTTTGTTGAGGAGAACAAGAAATGCCTTGCCAAGAACATGGAGTTAAACTTGAAGTATTCCAAGAAGAAAGTACAGAAGATGATGATTTAGCATAAGGGTCAGCTGCTTTTAGAAGAGAGAGCAAAACTTGTCCATCAGAGGAGAGAGAGTTCACTAATACAGCTTTTCTTGGACTCAAACTTATACAGAAGAAGAAAAAAATGAAAAAATATGAAAAAGTTGGTGAAGAGGTAACAAAATGATGGTTTGTCATCTTCTTCAGTTTTTGAGCCTTTGAAATGGAATAACAGTGGAAGTCAAGAAATGGCAACACAAATGGTGGAAGTGAAAGTCGATTGTAGGAGACAACATGCATGTGAAAGAAGCTTAGTTTAATTATGGGAATGCTTCAAACTCGCACCATCTCTTGTTGAAAACATCATGCATGAAATAAAACTTATTGTATTACCTTTATGAAACACTAAAATGCTTTTCTTGATATTGAAAAGAAGGTTCTTATGTACACTTTCTTACCGGAAAAAATGAATTCTTCCTCCCAGCTCCTCCACATACGGTGGTACGTACTACAAGTGGTGGTGGTGGTGTTGAACATGGTGGGTGGCACAAAACCAAGTTATTACGTTCTCTTCACTTCGCTCGAGTCTGTTATTTTGCATTTTACGAAAAATAGAGCATGGAGTAGCTAGGGCTTTGAGCTTTATTATCTTTCCTCATTAAATGAAACTTTTTCGTGACGAGAGGGGTTGCTCCGATGGTAAGCAACCCCATTTCTAACAAAGAGGTTGTGAGTTCGAGTCACCCCAAGAGTAAGGTGGAGAGTTCTTGGTGGGAAGGATGCCGGGGGTCTATTTGGAAACAGCCTCTCTATCTATGGTAGGGGTAAGGTCTGCGTACACACTACCCTCCCCAGACCCCACTAGTGAAATTATACTGGATTGTTGTTGTTGTAAGAGCAAATGCAGCTGCATTATATTTAAATGTCAAAACTTTCTTTTTAATTAAAGTTTATTTAACAAAATGATCCGGGCGCCACAATTATTTATGAATATAAAAGTGTGTTAGTAATTAGTGTTCCTTTTGCTTCATTCTATGTGGCAAGAGTTTAGTGCATGAAGATGCGAGTTAAACGTAAAAATTGCACGGGCGATCAAATGAAGATGAGATTTAAACGTAAAAATTGTATGGGGCGCTCTGTTTGGTCGCCCACATTTAACCTATACCTATTTTTTTAAATTTTTTTAATTTATACCTACTTTTAAACAACTTCAGCCCCTTTTCTCCTCCTCCTTTTCCTCTTTCGTTTTCTTCTTTCTTCTTCTATAACGATGACTTCAACATTATTTTAAAGTACCCATCATCACGAAGGAGTAGTAGGTGCTACAATCCACTGACTTGAAATCTTGAATCGACCTCTTGAAGTTGAGAAGTGGCTGGCTGTATTCTATCTTCCTTGGTAAGTATTAAACGTGCCCGAAAATTTTAAGATTCTCTCTGCAACAAAAATTAATACTACTTGTGTTTTGGAGCTTGAAGTCACTCATAAGTGCTCAGTTGCCTTATAATCAGAAACTGCCTAAGGCTCAGCGAAAAACATCTGACCACAGAAGACAACTCAAAGCTACAATAAGAATGGGTAGACTGCACCAATTATATGAATCATAGTAACCACATTTAAACATATTTTATCATTAGCGGTGCAGTAAACCAAGGATTGATCAACTAACTTTTGCAATCGTGGCATGGTTCCTACAACTTGCTGAAGTTAATCAAATATAGAACAAAAGCTGAAACAAAAACTTCAGCTCTAGAGCTGAAGTTCCCCAGTTACAAAATAAAAACTTCACCAGTTACAAAACAAAAATTTCAGCTCTAGAGCTGAAGTTCGCCAGTTACAATCAAAAACTTCAGCTCTAGAGCTGAAATTCGCCAGTTACAAAACAAAAACACAAAAACAAAACTTCAGTTCTAGAGCTGAAGTTCGTCAGTTACAAAACAAAAATTTCAGCTCTAGAGCTGAACTTCAGGCCCGACTACTAGAATGCTGAAATTTTGCGTGATTGCCTTTGCTACTTCAGCCCCGTATGCTGAAGTTATGCGAAAAAACTAGTATGCTTGCAATATTTTTTTGCAAAGGGGACACAAGTTAAAACGTGACACAAAAAGCGGGTATAGATGCAAATACTTCAAAATTTCAGTATATCGGACTTAGATTCTTCAAGTTTTTTGAGATAATAATATATATTTGGATAACACATATAAAGTACTACGGATCATAATAATTAATAATTTAAAATACTTAAAAAATACTCAAAAGAATAATAGTCAAAGAAAAATCTATTTAACTCCCCAATTAGTAGTAATAGTGTAGTGAGAGTCGAGACTACGCGAGATTTTGTTGTTGTTTATTTACATTATTTTTAGATAGCATCGGTCTTTTTTATATATTATATATATAAATTTTAGAAAGTATAATCATATAATGAATATTTAGTGAAAGTTTTTAACAAAGTAATATCAGACGACATCCCTTATAGAAGAATATCTCCCTCAGTGAAGGAGAGATTGCAGAAGCTCTATTATCACAAGTAGATGCTTTAATTAGACAAAATGATATCTAATTAATCCTAATGACACCTTTTGTAGAAGGATAAACTTCGCCATTGAGTGAGAGGTTTCAAGAATGCCTAGGGAAGGGGAGAAACATTGGAGTAATACAGCAGCGAGGCAGCTTAGGAGATTGTGAAGGATAAAAAGAATGGGAATTGGATTAAGCAACCAATTAGGTATCTTTCTTTTCTTAAACACTCGTTAGAATGAGAGGTAAATTCGAGATTTGAAGTTTATGATTTTTATAGCGATCTTAAGATAATATATAATACTATGTTCACAATCAAATATATTTAATAAATTTTATATATATATATATATATATATATATATAGTTATGCAAAAATTACTGAGTTTACATGAACCCAGTATCCCTATAAATCCGCCCTGCACGAGACACCTACTTTGTTTTATAGACTAGACTATGATCTCAAACTTCGATACTTATTAAAATTAATATGAGTAAAGCGTTCAAGAAAAAGCGTGTTTTTAGAGGAACACCTAATTAAAGCAGCTAGCTAGCTTCTTGTATTTGTTTTCTTCTTTCTAACCGTCTACTTTAATTAATTTTTTTGGCTACTTTCATGCATTTTAAAGAATTCACATTTTAATATTAATTAACAATAAAATTGATCATATTAATCTTAATTTTTTTATTGAAAATATAAAAAATACTCCTAGGCTCTTTACTCCAAGAACAAGTTTAAAAAAAAAAATTAATTTCTTCTTAATATCTAAACATCAAATATTATAGACAAAAAAAAAAGATGCCAAAAAATCAAATAAAATGGACCGAAGGGAGTATCTCTTCACTCTTTAATTTTACTTCGTATCTTACAGGGTAAAGTTAAAAACATGAGGGTAAATTGTCTTTTGTTTTTACCGCCATAGTCACTGAGTGAGCTACGGCGAAAATAAGTTAAGTGTGATTTGGTTATCGAGGAAGAAGTAGTGGGTCTATTTTGGGAGTAGGGCTAAAGAAAAATGTAGTTACATGAGAGAGCGAAGTAGCTTAGACTAAATTAAGGCACAAGTAACGATTAGGGTTTATCGGTATCAAACTATTCAACCAATAAAATTTATATGCACCAAGTATTTATTCAAATAATACCAATTTACAATTTAAGTGATATATATATANGTATTTAGTGCAGTGGTGTAGACTCCCGGTACAAATAAATACTTCATCCGGCCCACTTTAATTGATTTTTTACTTTTTTTTGGTCTACAATATTTGATTTTTTCAATTATCAACAAGAAATTAACTTCTTGTTTTTAAAGTTGTCCTAGGAGTATTTATTATAGTTCTAATGAACAAATTAAAGTTAATATAATCAATTTTATTATTAATTAATGCTAAAAGTTAGATTTCTTAATATGTGTGAAAATAATCAAAAAAATAATTAAAATAGACAGGAAAGAATATTTATCTTGTAAACCAACCTAGAATTTTTACAGATTCGCTCATTCGTAATTTCCGTAACTTTGAACATTATTTTTCAGGAACATTAATGTTGAAGACGGGGATACACTTTAATGTCCTCACGGGTTTTAGGGCTTAATGTTGATAGTTACTCTTTTCGATCCAAAAAGTGTTATTTAAAGTTTTGTTAAGAAAAACGACTAATAGTATTAATTAATCATAAAATTTATTTGATTTATTCGTCTTTCTAAGAAATTGCGTAAATATATTGGAGCAATGGTAGATTTGGTGTCACAACCCAAAACTAAATCCCGTTGTGATGACGCCTATCGTGGGACTAGGCAAGCCGACATTTCAAAAACACATTGATAATTTGCTAAAAGATAGTTCAAAACCCTCTTCATAAGAGAGATTTCATAAGAAGAGTTAGACTTATAATAAAATGCGAAAAAGATAGCCCGACATTAGGGTGTCACTAAGTCATGAGCATCTAAAATCAAATCCAAAATTCGGAGTTTACAATAGTCCACCAATACTAAACAGAAAGAAAAGACAACAATGGAAGGAGAGACAAGGGTTGCGGACGCTGGTAGCTACCTCGTAGATCTCCGAGCAGTCAACCGCGCACGAGCTCAACGATCCCTGCGACCAGTCTCACCTGGATCTGCACACAAGGTGCAGGGAGTAACGTGAGTACTTCCAACTCAGTAAGTAACAGAAATAAATAAGGAACTGAGAAGTAGTGACAAGCTATACAAATTAATACATTTATCTCAATTCTTTCAAATAAGAACAATCATGCTTTCAAATTCATTAGTTTAAGTCATATCAGTTCGTGCTCAAGTAAACCAGATATCAAGTCTTTCAGAAATTTGTACAACAAGGACAAATAACAACTAAGTGCATCAATTAACTAAAAGGAAGTACAACCTCTCAAGGCAACAATTACTTAGCTCATCTTAATAGCTAAATTACTCGGCTCTCAGCCCTCAGTAATTATACTCAATATGTACCTGCACTCACTGGGGTTGTATAGACTTCGGAGGGGATCCTTCAGCCCAAGTGTTATATCACTGCGGCGTGCAGCCCGATCCAATATATAAGCAACCATAAGGCTCGTTGCGGCGTGCAACCCGATCCAATATATATATATATATCACTGAGGCTCGTTGCGATGTGCAACCCGATCCATATATACTCTCACATAGCTTACAGCTCGGCACTCAGGCCCTATCTCAGTCACAAATCTCTCAAGTCCCTCGGGCTCTTAGAAAACATATAATTCAGCCCAAACAGAGATAATAACATGTATCAATGATAAATAGGAGGGGGCGGAGGTAAAATACGCAAGTAGCATCATGACTGAGAACAAAAACAACGAATAATAGTTAATTCAGCAAGTACACGACCTCACAGGTCTCAATAGTGATATCACAAAGCCTAAAAAGGATTTCTAACGTGAAGTGCAATCAATTTTCATAAAAACAGAGGGAACATGTAATAAACAGTAGGCTAATCGATTCAACAGTCTCACGGGACAGACCACGTCACAATCCCTACGGTGCACGCCTACATGCCTATCACCTTGCATGTGCGTCACTTCCAAAATAGTCATACGACACGATATACGGGGTTTCATACCCTCAGCACCATATTTATAACTGTTACTTACCTCAAT